TATTGTATCTTACTCCAAACAAAGAGTTATAAGCATGACCCGCTTGTTTATTAAGATAAACCGTACGATGGGAATTAGGTATAATTTGTACGCCGAAGTCGTTAAACTCTAACATGAAATAATAAAATGCGTGGAGAGATCCTTAAGGACTTATCATACTAGCGGTTTGCGAGCGGCTTCGGCGCGGAGCGGGCGCGCAGCGAATACGTCGCGGACGCGCAACAAGATCGCCGCGAATAACAACGTGGACCTCATTTTGTACCTTCTTGTACAAACGTTTAAAACATACCTTATAGTAAAAACGAGTTTTTTTTCAGGTGACACTGTTAATCTCAAATGTGTATCTTCATGTCTTATGTCGGTTTGTATCAGATGCAACGACTCATAAAATGTAGGTCTTGACATTCGCAGGTAGGAACGAACTTTTTTAGGATTATATTTTATTCGTTTGCAAAACAACACAAAGTCGTAGGTAGCTCTCTTCCAGTCGATTATTTGATAATGGATCCTACCAAAATCTGTTGTTTTCGTCCAAAGCACCTTCATTCAAATCCCCGAAGCCGCTTGTAAACCGCTCGTATGATAAAGCCGTTGGGCCCTTAGGCGTTCGACTAATTGACACGTTGTCGTGGGTACATTGTCAGGAGGCGTTTTATATGCGTTTTGTTTGGTGTAATTGTTTTGTCAAATGGTGCGAATAGCATACAATAACGTTATGTAGCAGCTGACAACAATAAAATGAATGTACTAGTTTTTATTAACTGGTGGTAGGACTCTTCTGTCTAGGGGTTCGTCTGGGTAAGTTCACTCTCTTGCATATTTCTGCTGTCAAATAGCAGTGATTACACTGCTATGTTCCGCTATGAAGTGTGTAGTGAGCGTGTTTTATTTATGAATGCCTCGATACGCCTTTCTGCCGATACGATACCGATACCGATGCTCTTATAAAAATATCGGCGATACCGATACCGATACGCTATTTGAATTCAAAAATGAAGGTGAAATAAATAAAATACAAGTCAGGTTATTTTTTAATTAATATAAAAAGAACAAATAACAGAACAAACTAAATAAAACTGTTTAAAACTATGACAGTTTCGTTTGCAACAAAATAGACAAGACCACACGCGCATTTACATTACATTTTTCAAAGTATTGTTGAATCGGACATAAAAATATCGCTGATGACAATATTTCGCTAAACTTCGAGTATCACCGATATATCGGCATCAGTATCGGTATCGGATGCATCCCTAGTTTTATTATTGGCTGTGAGGCATCCGATCTTAGTCTTCAGAAGTGACAACGCATCGGTATTTTCTTTGTTTGAAGTTGGCCGCAGGTGCTCCATGGACTACAATTGTCATCTGGTGAGCCGTGGACTGTAAGGACGTTTGTAACTTTAGTTTTATAAAAATTAAATTCAAAATAACTTTAAAATATTATTACATGATTTTATTAATTCTAAAAGCAACGAGGTAATGAATAAACATATGAATCAATAAGTTACCAATAACTTTTATAATATAAGATTGGTAAAAGAACTTACATTTCACATTAAGGTGACTTCTTTGTAATGTAAACACAAAAACGTGGTACGTTTACATTTTTTAAGTCGTAAAGCCACGCAGCTATATTATGGTTGTAGCACGAATAGGTCGGCTTGAGTTAGGACCACGCTCTCATACTTACCGAATACAGAATACCAGTGCAAAATAAGAGCTCAATGCTGCTGTGTTTCTTACGTTTAGAGTACCGCGGAAACTCTTTTTACTGGAAACGAGGCATTCTATCTTAGTCCTAAGGGGTGACAACTCATTTGCATTTTGAATATTTATAGAGGATAAATGTAGATGTCTATGGGCCACAGCATTCACTTACCATCAGGTGGATTCTATGCTCGTTTGCCACCCTTATTCTAAAGAAAAATCTCTAACAGAGTGCTGTAAAATAAAATATGAATAAAACGCATTTTAGACAACTTTTTATAATATACGATTAATAAAATAACTTACATTTCGCCTTTGGCCTATAAATACGGAGAGGCACGTTACGTCTCTTATTCCTTCCAGCCGAAACAGTAGTGGAAGAACTGCTGGTTGGCGGTATATAGCTAACAGTATAGTATAATTCTATTGAAACATACAATTTTTATAAAGTACAGGAACGCCTTGTGCATACTGGGCCTATGTGTCAACGAATATAATTGGCAGCAATTGAGTGGAGCGCAAGTGTTGATTTAGATCCAATTTAGCTACTGCGAAATATTTTGACCGTTGGACATGGCGATGGAATTTAAGAATTGGTATCATTTGGTACATTTTTTGTAACGATAAACTGATGACTTTATGACGAATATATATTTTTTTAATTAAAAAGGATAAAAATAACATTTTTATACAATTGTCTGTAATATGTTTACATGAAAAACAATTCAGATTATATATAAACTTTCAAAACATAATATAATAATAACATTTACTTTCGATTCTACAAACCTATCGTGGTATAGCCACGCTGCAGCTGTAGTATGGTTGAAGCACGAATGAGTGGGCTCGACCGAGGTAGAAGGACCACGCTCTCACAGAGTTAATGCTTCATTTTCGTATTAGTGTAGAGAACCGGAGATCCTTATCACTGGAAACGACGGACATTCTATCATAGTCCTCTGCATTTTGATTCTTTTGATCTTAGGATATGCATTTGACTCTTAATCGAGGATAAATGTAGATATTTATTAGTCTACAGCATACATTTACCATCAACTTGACTGTGCGCTCGTTTGTTACCCTTAATCTATAAAAAAAAACTATTTTGTATGTGAAATATTTAAGATAATTGCCTTCAATAATAACTTTAGTATTTCATTCATCATCAACGTTAAGATTCCCATGTTCCATCATTAATTTATCATTACAGCTTATCAAAGTCCACTGCTGAACATGGCCTCCCTCGTTGACAATTCCATTATGTTTCATTTAAATGAATATGTTTAACACAAATCTATATGGTTTATGTTACTATAACTTCTAATTGACATTCATCAGAAATCTGATCAATCAATGTTTGAGGAAAACATATCACAGGTGTTATTAACATGTGTTCTCTACTATTTAATTGATCAGAGCGTTCTTGTTAGACTGAATGTAGCCAATTTTAATAAAAACTATGAAATATTCGTGAACTTATAAGAATTACGGCATAACTGTTACAAATATTTGTATACGATATCAAGCTATCCATCTTTGTTTTGGTTTTATTGCTATAGGTTTGAAGGTTTGATTAATAATACTAGGTGTCTCAAAAGTAAGTTCACATTTGCTTATCTTATTACGCGAAAGCAACTATTCTGAGGGGCGCGGGGGGTATGTCAGTCGGTAGTCTGGCTCTTGGGAATTTAGTCGCTATGGAGCGTTTCTCTGGTGCGGACCGTGCGTTGTGCGTACGTGAGTTTTACAAAAACGGTAATTCGGCGACTGTAGCGCGTAGAAAATTCTGCAGTATTCGACATATTCGTCACTTAAATGATGCGCCTAGCACTCGTCTCATTGCAAAATGGGTTGAGAAGTTTGAAGAGACTGGGTCAACTCTGGAGAAACCAAAATCTGGGCGACCAAGAACATCAAGAACAGCCGAAAACGTGGACAGTGTTACTCAGTCTATTCGAGATGATCCAAACCTCTCGATTCGGAAGCGTGCTGTTGCTTTAAATGTGCACAGATCTTCATTATGCCGCATTTTACACAAAGATTTAAAGCTGCACCCGTACAAAATTCAGTTAGTGCAAGAACTGAAGCCTCAAGATGCTGGTCAGAGGCTTGCCTTTGTAAATCAGATGATTGAGCGCTTTCCAACGTTCACCAACATCTTGTTTTCCGATGAAGCCCATTTTCACCTGAATGGGCATGTAAACAAGCAAAATTGTCGTTACTGGAGTGCAACCAACCCAAAACAAAAACATCAGAAACCGCTACATTCACCCAAAGTCACCGTATGGGCAGCGATGTCGGCGCGAGGAATTATCGGCCCTTACTTTTTTGAAGATGGAAGGGGACGCACACTCACAGTGAATTCAGAGCGTTATGTGGAGATGTTAGACGAGTTTTTCGTACCCCAACTGCAAAACTTTCCTTGTTACAACCAAAGAACATGGTTCCAGCAGGATGGAGCAACTTCACACACGTCCAACAGATCTCTGCCTCGAGTTCGAGAAATTTTTCCGAACAAATTAATCTCCTGGCGAGGTGACATAAATTGGCCTCCACGGAGTCCCGATTTAACGCCTATGGATTTTTTCCTGTGGGGTTATGTCAAATCAAAAGTTTACGCTAATAAACCGACTTCCCTGGCACAATTAAAAGAAAATATCCGTCATGAAATGGCAGCCATCACGGAGACTACCTGCCGAGCTGTCATAGGCAATTTTAGTGCCCGACTAAATGAATGCCGAGAGCGCAACGGTTTACATTTGGACAATGTTATTTTTAAAAAATAAATTCCCAAACAGTGTACTTCAATATAAAATAAACATTTTTTCAATAAAGCTAAGACTTTTCTTTTAAAAAAAGATTTAAATGTGAACTATCTTTTGAGACACCTTGTATTAAAGTTAAAAAAATATCACCCATTGATTATTATAAGCCGAGTATATCTTAGTGGGGTAGAAGTCAAAATAATCGACCGCAACTCACATGAAGTCCGGGTAGTAACGTTACTCACCTGATAAGAAAATGTTACTCACAGGAATAATAGGATGCTTTCACATTGAAACAACAAATAGGTACATATTTTTATTTATTGTTAGACTGACACAACTGCTAACATCAATAAATGTATTTTTAACAAGTTCACCACCGAAAACATGCTTTAAAAACTACAACCTACACAAAACAATTACTTTGGCGGTGAAAATAACAAAAAAAAAAGGTACTTTATTACTTAAAAAGGAACTTTAATATATTTATTACAACTGGTAACTTGAGTGATAATTATGTAATTCTTTAATCAAAATATATATAATCATCGTCGTCAAGAAATACAAAATCAGTCTCATTTTCATTGATCGACATTAATTCTACAGTCTTTACAATATTCTTACAATCTATTAGCTCCACTTCCATTGACTTTGTCTTAATAAATTTTGTATTGTCATGTTTGCCAACTTTTCTTAAAAAAGATATTTTTACCTTGTCATTGAAAGGTTTTTCCAAAACTGTGCCTACAAAATATTCCACTCTTTTTTTTAAAAAGTGTCTTACCAATACATAATCGTATTTTTTTATATCAATGGGAACAATTTCTAAGTTGGAACTTGAAGAGGGCTGATGCAACATAGTATCTGGGATAAGGCAAGTTTTAGTCTTTTCAATTTTAACTTTTACATTTTTTTTGCAGCCTTTAGATTTTGATTTATTAATATTAAAATCTGTATCTTGCATATCCAGGCTATCTGATTCAGAAGCAACGTCGCAAATGTCTGAATCACTGTGGACACTCATAGCGATGTCACTATTGCTTGATTCATCTTCTTCTTTTTTTCTTTTTAACTTCTTATCTTTTCTTTTAATCTCTTTTCTCGTTTTTCGTTTAAGCCGGTCATAGTTTTTAGTGTTAAGTGATGATAAGTTTTCTTTATTTTCATTATTGGTAACAATTTTTGGGGTACATTTTGAGGGCGGAATTATAACTTGCGATATAATCTTGGGTTTTTGTTTTACATTCGTCAAGACGTTAGTGTTAATATTAAGTGAATTCTGATTTTTTGCCATCAATACAATTTTTGTTCCAGCAGTTTCCCGAATGATGCAACTACTTGCTTTTGTTTTCGATTGAAAAATTCCACCTTCGTCATGTATAACGTCAATGTCATTGGTTGATATTCGATGTGAAACCACGGGAATTTCTGGCAGCACTGCTCCGCATTCATTCAATTGCCCCGCTTCCTCATTGTTGCGCATCCTTTTACTAACATTGGTTGAACAATTTATCTTGTGGACTATAGTTTTTTTCAGGACGTGAGTTTTCGCGTTGTAGCATTCGCAAATCCCTCTTGGCAAAGATGACTTACAGAAACAACTGACATTGCGGTACCTTAGTGTTGTTGATGGAACATGGTAAGTAATTTGATGTAATCGTGTAGTAAGTGGTACTGGATCCAAGTCATTCGGTATCTGGTTCTGTGCATCCCGAATATTAATTTCAGAGACTGAAAATATTGTAACAGATGATTCTTCAGTTAAAATAGACACAGCATCGTCGGCACAGCTAACATCATTTCCACATGCCACTTTTTGATCCAGCAGTCTTTTTACAGCACCCCCTACTCCATCGGCAGCACCCTTGCCGTGCGCAGCTTCGAAAAACGTCCAGGTTCCAAAAGTAAATTTATACTTTTTGCATAACTCTGTAAACTGGTAAAAATTTTTTTTTTTGTTTATATTGCGTACTTGGACCGTCTGAGAAAAAATGTATGGTATCTATGTCGGGATTGCTTGTTAATAATAATTCAATTATAGGTTCTATGTGGGCTCTGATGGCTCCAGGGTCATGTAAGTTACAGTCGGACAGCGAAGCAAAAGGAACCTTTTTTTGTTGTAGATATGCTATGCCAGTGTGGATCGTAATTTGGCCCTTTGATGCTCCGAAATGAAGAGCCTGTATCTCTTCTCCTAATTTACAGGAATAATTTTCTGAGAAATCTATTATTAGAGCTGCTTCATTGGGTAGTAGGTTATCAATAACTTCTCGATATTTTTTGTGCTGATGATTTATATTAAAGAAATGCTGCCGGAATGCACGTAGATCAGCTAAAAACATTTCTTTGAGTTCTGAAAATGTACCCTTAATACTTTCTTTAGCATATTTCTTTGTAGTAGTAATTTTTCTTTCTATTCCCTTCTCAAACGTAAATTCCTTTCTAATCCACTGTATCCATGTGCATTCTGTATTGTTTGTAATATCTGTCAAATTCATTTCAGGATTGGTGTCTTTACACTTTTCACAATTTAAATACATACAGTCGTACGATTCAACGCTGCACACACTCGATGCAAGTAATTCTTGCAAATCGGAAGTACCTATAACGCCAATTTTCTTTAAATGAGCAACTTTGAAGGCTAAATTACTGTGTTTTATACATGCAACGGTGTTTCTATCACTCAACTTTGGCCGTAACACATTTCTTGGCCTATTTCGTCTAAAAGTTGAAAATGAAGCTTTTCCTCCCTCGCTTACATATTTTGTGTAAAGTTTCTTCAATGAAGTAAGCAAGAATCGCTTCTGTAATTTATCATTACCTCTACCAACACATTCTTTCTTGCCAGCTGTCATTCTAGTGTTATCATCCCTGTTGAAAAAAATACGTATTTCTTTAGCTTCTTTGTATGTCCTTTCCTTTTTCTGAAATTTTCTTACTCTCCCTTTCAGTCCCAATGATTTCGAAATATCAGTTTTCAGATTATATTTTTCTATTGCTTCGGATGAAACAATGTCTTTTAGGATCTGTTTTGATTTATTGTCATGTTTTTCATATGCTGTCTGTAACGAAGCACTGATCACATTCAGCTGCAGGATCTGTTTTTTAACTTTATTTTTTTCAGGAGTGGATATGGATGGAATATTTTCATTTATAAAGGATAATGTTTTAGACATGGGAGTTTTTTCACGTAAATCTTCATTTTCAGATTTGTCAGTTGTGGTCAGTCCGGATGAGGTAGTTGGTGCATTAATGTCTGTAGGTACAAATTCACTGTTGGTTTTACTTTCTGATGAGTTTATTAAATATTTGTTTTCCGTTCGTTCTGAATTTGAGATCAATTTGCGCAGCTCTTCAATTTTAATTTTATGTCTATATAGGTTTTTTTGTAAAGCATGTTTCTTCAGCAATATATTATCTATAACTTTCTTTTGATCTGTTATTCGCTTCTTCAATTTTTCACATAATCGTGCATTTAACGCACAACACTTGTTGTTCTTTGGTTTTGTTACACCACCTTCTTTTTGTTTTTTTTTGGCAAGTCTCCATTCTCGTCGCTTTTTTTCCTTTTCTTTTTCAGTCAGTTCTGCAATTGGTCTTCTAGCAGCTTTCATGTATTCTCTATGCTTCTTTTTTCTCCTCGTATTTTTCTGCATTTTGTTTTATTTTTTCACGGTATTTTCTTTGTCTCTCAGCATTCGACATTGGCGCCATCTAAAAGTAAGCATGTAAAGTCAATTAGTTTTAATTTATGCACAAATACGTCCAAAAAGTCCAATCCATGAAATATTAAAATAATAATAATAGATTATTCCAGAAGTGGATGCCAGTATATTTCATGCATATACATATATAAATATATAAAAAAATATGAATTCTAAAATTCCTCCTTTTTTTGAAGTCGGTTAAAAATACGAACAAAACCAAGCGGTTCGGAAGATGAATGAGATTTTCGTTTGAAGTGAACAACTCGTTATTGATTGCAGGTGCACTTACTATACAAACTGATTCGTTTTACCAAGTGTTACTCACAAATCTATAAAATCCTGTGAGTAACAATTAGCAGTATGAACTAGCCCTAAGTCGTGTTACGTTATCCACAGGAAGGAAAAATATGGATTATAACCTCTAAAATGCATCGTCATAACAACAAATATCTTACCTTGAAAACAATGTCTCTGTGTTGTATGAGCACCAAAACACACTATTTCAGACTGTGTATCCAGACCCGCGTAATTCACTTTAGAATTTATCTCACTCACTAGTTTTTCACAGGAATATTTTGGACAAATTTTTCTGTGCGCGCACTCTTTCAACCAAAACTTAATGAAGTGACAACATGGCGTTCTCAAAAGTCACGAGATGTGAGTAACAGTGTTGCTAGCATAATATATAATTGCGATATGGTAGAATTTCTTTTCGGGAGCGTTTAAAACACCGTTATCTACCTGGAGTTATTCACAGGAATGATATTTGGGATTTTATTATAAACAGTAATTAAATAATTATAGACATAATAAATTAACGATTACATGAATGAAAACAATAATTAAGTCACCAGTTTTTACTTAACAGTATATAATATTGCTAAAAATTGCCTAGTATTGATTATTTTATAATATGTAAATTTTCATTACGCAATAGGACACTTTCATTTTGTATGGACGTGAAATTAGTGACTTTAGTTTGCTAATATTTTTTTCGGTATAGTTATATTCTAAACATAACTAAAATGGCTTGTTTTCCTGTAAATTAATTGTCCTTTAAAACAAAATTGGTTATAACTTGATATGACCCGAACTAATCTTTATATAAGCTGAAAACGGTCGAGGACACATATTTTTTAAAGTCATGTACGATTATTTTGACCTCTACCCAGTGGTATTTCCAGGTCAAAGTCCTGATATTATTGTTTTGTCATTAGTTCTTAATACGCCTGCAATCTGTATTTTCGCACATATTGTAAATAAAACACTACAACTTAATTTATTAAAATTATTATTTCTTATTTAAAATTAAATATCTTTAGTGGCCCAAAATATGCTCATAAATCTGTGGACACACCTTGTTCGATATGAAATGGAAAATATATTGACAAACTAACTTATAATAAAGTGATAATAATAACACATAAAGATTCGGTTATGAATTGTTACTTTCTTGCCAAAAAAGAAGCATTTTGATTTGTCCTTCGTTATACCGCGTAGACTACCATTATTTTCTGATATGAAACAGTCCCGAGATGGCCACATAAAAGTGATATTAAGGCTGAGACAGAGATTGCGAACTGTTTCGAAAGTACTCGTAAAATAAAGAATGAATTTTATTTGGGAACGCGATTTACGTTCGGCTGATTGAAAAATATGCATGTTCCTTTGACCTTTGCTTTATATTGAAATCATGTTAACGCACGTATAACGTGAGTTTGTAACTACGCGTCCCATATCTCTTACATTGAAGTGAAAGTAAAGCAGTAAAGTTACGCCTATTTTACTTGTATATTCTAATTTTACGCTGAGCACAGGACTTCACTAATTTCTGACAGAGCTGTGATGTAGCTAGTTCATTGCGATTCTCCAGTATGTGGCCTTCGTGAAGTCATCCAAATTTTTTTATTTCGTAGACATACAGGTTTCCTTACGATGTTGACCACTATGCACGTGATAAATCATGTTTTAAAATTGCAATTAAAATGAACACAAGAGTTAACTTGTGTCAAAAATAGAAAAAAGTTAAGGTTCAGATGAAACCAGTTTGTGTATTTAATTGATTCCGGATATAAGGATTCTAAGACCATCAATAATAAACAGACATATACAAAATAAATACATAACACTCAATAAAACACTCTATAGTTTAAATGTTTCTTCTATTTGTTTCTGTATATCATGATTTTTTTTATAGGATAGGGTGACAAACGAGCACACAGTCCATCTGCTGGTAAGTGGTTGCTGTGGCCCGTAGACATCTACATCTATCCTCGATTACGAATCAAAATGCAGATGCGTTGTCTTTTCTTTTATAAAATGATAATAATTTTCATTAAATGTCTGTGTTTGAAGGAAATTATTCGTAAGCGTTATCAAATTCTGGGCTAATATTCCTATTAATAAACCAATTTTTAATATATATTCTCCGATACCGTCATCCATCAGACCGAGATACAGGAGTCGTAAGTTCAGGACGTCTAAATGTATCCGGTGGGATTGCTTCGGTGTAAAGGAAATTGTTCAAATAAAATGCTTAACTCGAGGTTAGACTTTATTTCCACCGAAATGGTATCGCACATTTTATGTTAACAGTAACGTTTATGTAGCCGCGTGTATAAAAAATAATATAAAGGGTTTTCTTTATAATATACAATATAAACTAAGTTTTATATCTTTTAGTTTCTCAGTCTCTTTTTGATGTATTGATCTTATGGTTTATAAATAAATATAAACGATATCATTACAAAATGTAGAAATTACTAATCGATGAGTGCAAATAAAAAAAAGGACTATTAGTAGTCCATTTTCCCCCTCTAGTATATTATAATCGTTGGCGCGTCTATTCGTAATCGTGTAACATCTGAAGATTTGACCGATGGAGATGATATTCATACAATATATTTTCGAGACAATGGGTGCGTTTGGCAGAAAAAAGCGCTAGCAAGCGCTTGTAAGCAAAATGGCGATCGTAAAGCGGTAAGCGCTGTCAAATCGTAAGTAGCTATTTTCCTCCAGGACACGATGTTAGTTTTAACCGGGGGAACCTAACCTAATTTAAATATATGTTTGTAAAGTATTCATATTAAAAACTTACCAATCATGAATTTTTAATAACATGTATATGTTTATTCATGTCATTATATTACTTAAAACTAATATTGCGCAAAACAACTTATAAACTCTACTTCAAAACAAACAAATTAAATAAGCAAAATGGCGGATTGTGTCAGCGCTACTGAAGTAGCAATCGTGTCTTGGCCGAAAACTATTTCAGCGCTTATGAGCGCTTGCTAGCGCTTTTTTCTGCCAAACGCACCTAGCATAAATCAACATTGATCACAAATTTTTAATTGTTGGATCAAAATGACCCATATTCACAATAATTAGTAGGTTTAGTGCCAAAAAATAATCACAAAATCTAGACTCAATAAGGAGCGAAGTGGTTGCGTTATTTAAAAAAAATATGACTCAACCACACGCGGATCGAAAACCGCAACGGGTAGAACAATGTCTACTGAGTTTAAAATGACGGATCTGTTAATGATCGTGCAACTTCTAAACTTAGACCATTCAACCCACTTCTAAACGACTTGGCCGCTTTTAATCATATTCACTCAAAAAGTTTTTGTAACTATGCTGATAACAGATAAGTGGCAATGTAGTCAAGTTATTAACAAACTCTATATTTATGGACACCAAACTATCACCGTGATTGATTTGTTAATACATTTTATATTCAAAAAAACTTATCACGCCATCTACCGAAAAGGGCACAACAACGTCTGTCCAGCTAGAATACAAACATACCACATTGTAATTGTTGCCAAAATGAATATAATATAACTATTATGTTGTTTGAAATAAATCACTTTCAGAGTGATAAGACCACCTGTTGTACTGATCCTTAATATTTGTTCTCCTGCATTTATTCCATATTTTTGGTGTACAATAAAGTATAAATAAATATGACTTCTTATAGTATTACATAATGTTAAGTACACTACTCGGAATGCTTGCAAAAATGTTTATATTACATTTCTTTGGGATATAAGGCATTTATGTATTAGAATAAGTTTTACTTAGATTAGTGTAGGAACAAATAGGTCCTGACCCTCCCTCATTACTGATAGATAACGTTTACTGCACTATAGTTAGTTATCGTGACGGTTCTTAGACTTGATTTGTTCCTAGGTGATAGATTGTCTTTTATGCCGGAGTCTTTTAACGTGTTAAGACACTGGAATCTCAAGTTAATAAGACCGGATTTATATTAAATGTCTTCAAATCTTAATGTATACTTGAAAATTTAATTACTTATGTTTAGTTGTTCTTTATACTTCACAATTTATATGAATTTTAATTCAGCTTAAGCTATTTATAAAACAAAATCTTGCTAATGATATTACGTAACGACAGGATAAATTTTACTTCGGCGTCTAGAACAAACATAAAACCTCGTTATATTTCAAAGTGTGAAGTGTTACAAAAAGTGAAATAAAAAGGAATGCAGTGATGGAATTTTTAACATATATCGGTACATTGAAGGCATTAAAAATGATTGTGTTATCGAATATGTTTCGCGGAAATCATCCGCCGCAACATTTAGGTTCACGACACGTGACCACTCCAATGGAGAATAATGTGAAAGAAAAAAAATCAGGACTTGTAACACAAAGTTCATTGAGAATGAAGCAGCGTACTAAGGCACACGATAGTTTTAATGAGACACAAGAGGCTGTAGAAGTTCCGAAAAGTGAAAAAGAAAAGCGGTTATCTAATAGCGTTGATGCGATAATTACCAAAAGAGATACCAAAAGCAAAGTAATATGTAGTGCCAAAGGCTTATTAGAAACTAATTTAGATGATTTATTTAACGACTTGCAGAAACTGGACGGGTGGACTGGTCAGTCAAAGAGTTTAGGTGCTAGTGAGCCGTCCTTAAGTGTAAGTGATAAAAATATAAAAGCAGCGACCAAACGTGAATCTCTGGTGTCTGAAGATGACACGGCAGATGATACAGCAACTAACAGTGATTGTATTGACCAAGAGGCGCGTGAACAGAGAAAGTGCATGGGTGCGCGACGAATCGGGCATATACTACGAAGAGTCATTTCTAGAAATGGTAAGTTTCATTCACATTACTTTGATGACTATATATCATAAAGAACACCTCCTATATCATCAGTTATTCTTTTAAATTGTCTTGTTAGCGTAAAAATAAGGCAAACTATGAAAAAATGTGACACATAAAAAACAGAACATAGTAGTATTATAAAAATGAAACAATATTTGATAGCCTCCCGGAGAATAAAAAAATAAGAAAAGACCGATAAACTTGTTGTAGGTTGGAAGCGCGACAAATGAATACGGCGACGCTCATTTATTTGTTTCCAATTGTTACAAATTGCTTCTCTCGCACTGATTGAGGGAATCGTCCGTCGTAAAAGGCTGTTGCTTCGCGATCTTATCGTCGACGCTTCTTATTGAAATGGATTTGAGCTGATGACATCATTTAACAATACTAAGCTATTGGCTGTCTTAAATGTTTTATTGCATTTTTATTGTTTTTTGTATTATGTCACAATTAGAAGTGTACTGTTAGAAATTAAACTTTCCTAATGAACCACCGGTACTATCTACTAAACGTGGCAATAACATGGATAATTGATCGCTGTACTAGATGTTTTTTGCTTCTGGATAATTTACATATATTAACCACGTCTTACATCTATCAGCATTTTAACAATGGTTATTCATGTTTAAATACAGCATGCTAACAACCCTCTTATTAGAAAACACTTATTTCGATATAACAGACAGTCATTTTAATTTTTTTTAAAGATAGTGTGACAAACGAGCACGCAGTCCATCTGATGGTAAGTGGTTGCTGTGGCCCATAGACATCTACATCTATCCTCGATTACGTAATCAAAATGCAGATGCGTTGTCACCCGTGAGGACTAAGATGGAATGCCTCGTTTCCAGTAAAAAGGGTCTCCGTTTCTCTACACTCACCATACGAAACACAGCAGCATTAAGCTACTATTTTACGCTGGTATTCTATGAGAGCGTGGTCCTTCCCCGGTCGAACCGACCCATTCGTAAATAAATACATATGAATGTCAAATGAGCTAACAATTTAACAAGTGGTAGTAAGTTACGGTTGCATCCCGTGGAGCTGCAACAAACTTTAAGAAAATTTCTAATCTCTGAGAATTGAGATGATAATAACCTTGAAACGAACCTCTTTTTAGTTATTTTCTACTTGTAAATTATTTTTATGTTTTTTTTTAATTTCGTCTTTGTGTTTATTAGTAACCTTTAAATTACGGTTTCTACGACAGTGGATTGGTAATGTAATGTCTAGTCTCAGTGCATTTGGTCCGGCGCTAAGGGCCGTGTAGGTTTGATCCCACACGGAACAATTTGAGTATTTGTCAATATATTTTTTCAGGTTTTGGTTGTTTATCTATGCTCAATTTATGTTTGTAAAATGCTTTCAAAATATAACGAAATTCCTAGTATGCGGTGAAGGTAAAAAAAATTCAGTGGCAAGATATCCGAAAGAAAACTTGAAATTTTTCTTCTTTTATTTTGTCAGATAGAACTCAGACTTTAAAATTTCAAAATTTCAAAATTTCAAAATCTTTATTTCACAACACAATGGTTTGTAACTGTAAACAGAGGTTGGGACCATCCTATTAAGTAATAATAATACTTGTGCCAGGTGGCCCCGCTCTTCCTTACTTTGCTAAATATCTTTAAATGTGTTTGTGAAGACAATTTGGAAAAACACTTATAAAAATAATTAATGTTAACATTAGTTTAGAGTGAAAAACAAGGCAAAACAACAATCAATACTTTCAATTTACATATTACCTGAAATAGGTTAATTCTGAATTTCAATAAAAAAGCATGAGAGCGTGTTCGCACGCGCGCATGTGTGTGTGTGCGTGTGTGCGTGTGTGTGTGTGTGTGTGTGTGTGTGTGTGTGTGTGTGTGTGTGTGTGTTTGTGTAAAAATATATGTGTATTGTGTGAGTATGAATGTGTAACTTCGTATAAATTGTCACAGTTCTCGTTCACCAAAACCTATTTCAACATATCAACATAATAAATATAAAATTAAATCAATTAGCATATTGCAATAAACATTCTGTGTCGTTATATGTTTTAGTATATAAATACTTTGTAACTATTTGTTTACATTTGTATGTGTTCAAGTGATATAAATCCAAATCTTTGTTCAGCCTATTGTAGAGATGAGCAGATTGCGATAAGAACTGACGCTGAGCAAATTTGGTTTTTACGTATCTAGTTACTGCTACCCTATCTTTTCTTCTTCTCATCATTATTTCAGAGTTAAAAGGCAAAGATTTGTGTGTCCGTAAAACTATTGATAGAATATATATCTGTCTTATTGAAAGAAGCTCACACAACTTGTAAAGTTCTTCAGTTGGAAAACGAAATGGTTTAAAATACATAACTTTGAGTAAACAACGCTGACTTCTTTCGATTTCTAATAATTTTGTTTTAGCTGCACCTCCCCAGACTGAGATACAGTACCCTATTATGGATTGTGCTAATGCAATATATATTTGATTTAGTAATTTTTTAGAGGTGACATGTCTTAGTTTCCTAAATATCCAAATTAATTTCCGTATCCTATTACTCGTATATTCAACTTGAGAGTGCCAGTTCAAGTGTTGGTCTAGAACAACTCCCAAATACTTTATAGATGCAACCTTATCGATAAATGTACATTTACAGTTAGAACTATTAGAAATACCACAATAATGTATTTTTAAACTATTGTTATTATTTGGTTGCGTTCTATTACTAATCGTAAAGCATACATATTTAGTTTTTGCAATATTTAAGGAAAGAAGGTTACTCTGGAGCCATTTTGAAATTATTAATAGACCAGATTCAGCATTTCTAAATACCGAGTTCCAATTATTTCCCGTAAAAACTATTGCGGTGTCATCGGCATAAGAAAATACTCGACCGTCGACTAAATTTAGGTTAGTTAATGTATTAATATAAATAAGGAACAGTGTAGGACCCAGTACACTTCCCTGTGGAACACCAAAAGTAAGCGGTGATTCTTCACTAATGTAGTCACCTATTTTTACTTGTTGCTTACGTTCCCTCAGGTAATCCTTGAATAAATTCAGCGGGATGCCCCTTACACCGATTGCTTCCAATTTCCGCACAAGGATCGAAGAAGAAACAGTGTCAAAGGCTTTCTTAAGGTCTAAAAATATAGCCAAACATTTACGGCCTTGATCCAGTTGTTCAGTTATATGAGATGTTAGTGCTACAACTGCATCTTCTGTCGACTTACCGCGTCTAAACCCAAATTGGTTATCTGAAAGAGAGTTTAGGCTTTAGTTATTATTTCTAAGAATAAAATTGTAAAGAATCATGTCCAATCTTTCTCTCTGAAAATTTTCTAACGCGTCTAGTGATGTAAAATATCTAAAAAAGTTGCCTTTATTTTGCTTATTTCGTATCGCATAATTGAATTTTCCAATAAAGCCAGGAAAAAAGTAATATTACTATTTTTATCATTCTCAATAGACTTTTGAAGACAGAACGCTTCATACAATGACTTAAAGGCCCAGAAGATATGGCAAGATATATTTAAAAAGAAACCGTCATGTGGTTTATGAATGTTCAAAATAACCAATTGTATTTGTTAGTTACCTTATTATTTCATGATTAGATATGATTTTTGTGGTTTTATACTAAGGTGTGGAAAGTTATTTTTCTTTCCACACCATAGTATGCCATAGTGTACAGTTGACAGGTTATAACATGAAAAACTTATTAACTTTACAGCATTTTTCCCTGGCCTCTTAATGAAAAGGTGATAAGTTATTACGTTATTATAAACAATAATTGATTTTATGCAACAATAGCTGTAGGTAGACGCGACCTGTAAAACGAATCATGTGACAGGTCAATCAATGTATGGAAAGTGGGCATACTTCTTTTAGATTCAAACTCAGATTCAAACCTAAAAAGAATGTGATAGTAGATCTAAAGCTAAAAGTGTGTGGGCTAAACTAAGTCAAACTGAAATTAACCATGATTTTCAGAAATACGGAAGGAAAAATGTACTCTCGCATTGCCATTTATTTATCATTTTTGCTAATGATGGAAAAATAGTTTGTATTATTTTATTCTGTATAGTGAATTATCTAATTTCTCGTACAAATAGTTGACGTTGAGGACAATCGGATATTGGCTCTAGGCTATGTAATCTCACAGAGCTATTCAATCGCTAATGGAAGCGCACGGGTAAGTTTCGGTAAACCATGTTACTTCGTCAATTCCTCTAGAACTGCATTGCGGTCGCGTTTACAGTTTAGAGATATTAGATAAGCAACATGGATTAAAAATTTAGTTTATACCTATTAGAATTTGTTAACTAAAATATTCAACATGTTTTAAAGTTTTGACAAAATCCGTAAAATTAGCTAAGGTTAGCTGAGTTAAAAAAAAGTATTAAAGTGCTCACTGTAAATTTCACATTATGCTAGCACTAGCGACGCAGATTTTATTCCCGTCGGCACCAATACAATAATTTTTATAATTTGAAGTGTGACAGATAAAATATTGACGTATGAAGTCCGCCAACACAAACTAGAGCTGCGCAACTTACTAGTTGCCTATAGGCTATGTTCTATGTCTAAGTCTATGTTCCGCAATGTGATTTTAATAGATCAAAATCCCATTGCGGAACATAAACTTTCATAGATTGCACCAAAGCGTGGACACTTGCCATAGTTGCCATGATTGGCAACCGCAGTTTTTTATTATTATTGAGATGTGAGATGGTTGCAGGACGATGGTGCTATTCACTTCCTTACGCCGCCAATACACCAAATTAAAATAGATCGTTGCTATTATTATTTACATAAAAGATTGGTGGGACGATCCTGATCATGTTGACGTACTGCAAATCTCCTGGAGCGCCGATGCTTTACATCAGCTGTATGTTTTTTTTTACGCGGGTTTTTATGGATCTGGCGATAAAATCCGTAAATAGTTTAATTAAACGACACACAAACGACACATGAACAGGCAAATATAAATATTATATAATAATACATCCGAAAATCATTCTCTCTTTTATTTGTAGACTTTCATTAATTT